CCCCCCCCTACAGCCGTGCCGCGTCGCCAACAGCGTGCGAGCGCGGGAAGGGACAGTCCCCGCCTACAGCCGTGCCGCGTCGCCAACAGCGTGCGAGCGCGGCAAGGGACAGTCCCCGCCTACAGCCGTGCCGCGTCGCCAACAGCGTGCGAGCGCGGGAAGGGACAGGCGGGGGGAGGGGATACTGACCAGTACGAATTGATGATTTTGCAGAAGGCCAGCTCGCAGCACATTTTCAGGTTGCTCTGATGTTCAAGAAGGTCCGAGGAGGAGCACTTGCTGGGGTCCACCTCGCAGTTTTCATCCGATTCGTACAGGGCTTTGATAAACTCCCCTGCAAAACAGGCAGAGAGACAGGGATGGTGTCTGCTGGCAAGTCCCAGCCTAGGAGGGGTTAATCCGTCCTGCCATGGGCTGGGTGGGACTGTAAGGCAAGAGACGATAATCCAAGCCCTTCCCCCTACATTTCTCCTCCCACCGGTAAGATTTCTGGGGATTCAGACCCACTGTTCTCTATATGCTGAGCGTCTGGGCCGCCACGCAGGAAAGGTTCAAATGTCAGCTGGCTGATTAGCAGAGCGCCCCCTGCTGGCAGCATGTGTTCCTATGGGTGGTGCACATCCACACATGCCTTGGTGCGCGTAATACAATTTATTCTGCACACAGAGGGAACAAATGAGAGGGAACACTGGTTCTGAGTGGCCTGTTTTTGTCTGGAACCCTTTGCTTATGGAGCAACACAAGAAAACCACGAGGAAAGGGTCTGAAACCCTGCCTGGGACTGTTCTTCCTCTTCTGCCTGGCAGCTCTCGTGATGTGGCCCTAGGCCACACTGTGTCGTAGCCAAAGACCCCTTTCCTAGGGTGCCACTTGCCCCGATTTCCCCCGGTTTGCACAGGGCTCTCTGGTGGGCTGCACTAGCAGATGGGATGGTGCCAGAGAGCCGCATCCCAGGCTGATTTGCAAGGGCAGGAGACTGCACTGTGCATATGATGCCGGAGACTGGGCCGGTGCCACCTTCCGCACAGCCCTGGGCCACCGGAGCAAGGGGCAGGCTCAGAAGGCGTTTGGCCAGGGGGCTGGTTTGGAAAAGCTAAATCACCAGGCAGCGTCACGGCCGAGTCACTCGCCTCGTTTGCCTTTGCTCCCGTTCGCCACTGCTCATGCCTTGTGCACAGGGGGCAGGGCTATTGCCATTCCACAAGGAGCAGAGACACACGGAGCAAGGCCGCGGGAGACTCAAGCCCTCTGGCTCAGCTGGCACACAAGACGGGCTCCTGGGGAAATGGCGGAGAGCAGGGTTCCCTGCGAGCTGAGTGCTTGGGAGGCCACCCAGGAGAGTCAAACGCCACCCAGCGGATTAGCAGAGCGCCCCCAGCCTCCCCCAGGAAGGAGTGCGCGTGTCCATTGGTGGTGCACACCTGCACGGATGTTAGGGCAGAGAACAAAATTTATTATGCACGTGGATGGAAAAAATTTAGAGGGACCATTTAGAGGTGTAGGGGGAGGACGTTACCAGCAATACGGGAAGGATTTGGCTGCTTCTCTGCCGCTAAGCCCCCTGGGAAGGCGTCTGGTTGGCTGGATGTCCCGGGAAAACCCCGTCCCCCAGCAGGCGCCAGGTTCTGCTCCTAGGCAGCACTGATGGGCTTGCACAAAAGCTGCCCAAGTGCTGGGGAGAGGCTCAGTTTTACTTTTCAGACCAC